AGACAACCTCTCGTCAATATGCGTTTTTTGCATTGCATTACTGCAAAAAACGCATAAAAATGAAAAGAAGAAAAGGATATTAAGATAGATAAGGAGTATATAAAAAAATATTTGTTATAGGTAAGAAATGTTTCGGTCCATTAAGTCGTATACATTTCTTATCATTACCACAACTGGACCTCGTCAGTACGACGATTGTGGTAACACAATAATTTAATAAGGTATATAAGTTAATTAAGATAAAAATATCTAATTCAGAAGAAATCAAAGTAATGGTAGGGGAAAAGGAAAATATGGGGGAAAAAGGAGAGTATAAAAGTATGTAAGAAAAGAAAAAGAAGGGCTCGGAGGTAGCTAAAACTTTTTATCTGATACTGTTAAATTTGCTCACAATTATTCCGTGGATAGAGATCATGCGCCATGTTTTTAGAAGATAAAATTATTCTTTTAGGTATTTATGTCATTACGGAAACCCAATCCAGATAATGGTTCATTGGTGGAAGAAAATTTTGTGGAGGGACGTGCTGCAATTGTTCGTTCGGTCCACAGAACAACGGTAATTTTTCTACTTGCATTACTGTTACGAGATTTGAAGCTCAGTGGTGCTTTGCGAACTAAAACTATTCGAAAGTGGCCTGAATATTGGCACTTTGCCCACAGCAGCTGCCATTTTGACCGATTTATTTATCGTTCTCTTTTTTCCCCCAATTTAGGACTGAATTTTTTTTTCCTTTCAGGTACCGCGAGGTACAAAGCAATTATTGGAACAGACAAAAGCCAGAACTCCAGATTCCAGTCCTTTTTGGTTACTTGTTGCATCGCTGCAACGTTTTGTCGCCGTGCACCACGTTCTACCAGTATCTGGCAGTTTACCGGATATGATTAGTGATACGGAACGCTACGTAGCTCTGGCAACGAAGTTCAAGCAAAAAGCCAACGATGATGCAAATGAGGTGCATTTTCTTAGTTTTTGAAGCAATAAAGTCAGGAAGTTTACCTCATTCAACTCGATGAAATATGCGAAAATGGAAAGCAATACCCGAGTGTTAGTACTCAATTACCAGCATCCATTTTCTGTCGGAGGCATTGTGGTGTGCTTAAGAAACAAGCTAAGGTTGATCTGGTTGAGGTTGCAAAGTTGTAAAAACCGAAAAATCACCGTTCATTTTATGATCATAGCTTTTCGAGGTCGTACTGACGTATCAGATGCTGCATTTTAATGGCAGTCTCACTAGTACCTATTTGGACGGGGAACATTCCCATAAAATTTCAGCTCTCTAGTTCTTCTGGTTTACGAGTTAGCAGCTTACCCGTGAAGAACTTTGGCGGGGTTTTACGTGGGCACCACGCGGGAAAGGCCGCCCATTTTGGGGATAGGAGCCCGTACATGCATGTAGATCATGTCCCCAAAGTTTTTCAGCCCTGTAGCTTTTGCCGGTCTCGAGATGAAAAATCGGTACAGAGGCCCAGCGCACACACAGACACACACAGACACACACACACACACACACACAGACAACCTCTCGTCAGTATGCGTTTTTCGCATTGCATTGCTGCAAAAAACGCATAAAAAATACTTATTGGTATGGTAAATTAGATTTTCAGCCCATAAAATGCATTGCAGTCATTTTACTGTTTATCAAATTTTTACTTTACTAATCCTTGATTTTTCGCCTCAAAACTCTGCAGCCGATGTAAAAAGCCTCTTTTAAATTTGGTGGACGAAAACATTCCATGTACTTAATGTTCTAATAGGAAGGATAGAAAGAGCCATGAAGACCCAGCCAAAATGTAATCATTCCAAACAGGAATGTCTGCGTTGCGCTGGGCGAGGGTTGGTAATAAAAACCTCAGTATCATGAGTGACAGTGTAAAATATGT